ATGTGGTTCAACACTTGTATCAGGAATCAGTGTAAACTGAGAATCTTAGCTTTGAGCTCAGTAGCAAAACACATGCTTTTCAAGTAGAAGGGACAGAATCCAGCATCCGGTATATCTGGTTAAAAGTCTTAAAGTGATAGGAAAGGGCATACTAAGTAGCCTGATTGGACTTTAATCTACCTCTTGTGTTTAAAATAAATTACAGTGAGATTCAGATTAGAATAGAAGATAGTAATTTGACTTGCTTCAGGTCTAAAACTAACACCTCTGCAGGCAATGCAAGAGTCATTATTTTTCCTTCTGCAACTGAAAGCAAAACTGGCTTGGAGGCAAACCATGTTTTGCATCTTAACATGACTTTTGCAAGAAACCTCTGATAGACTAAAAAAAATGAGACAAATCTGGATAACCCTGATATTTGTTTTCTGGCTTTTGATATTTGGATTGCCATACCCTTCAATCAACTCTCCTTTTAATTTAATCAAGTCTAAAGAGAGAGTTTAGCTTACCACATATTTATTTCCCAACACACATATTCTTCTTGAAAATATATTGCAGATGCATAACTTGTGACTAATTAGCCCCGTGAAAGATAAGAAATTGCTGAACTGACATGGCCATGTGCACGACATCATCAGATTTGATTCAACTCAGATGTAAATTAAGGGCACCAACAGGATACCTCATATACTGTTAAATGTATGGTTAATTTTTAAACTTCATTCTCAACTGAAATGAAATGTTAGTGTCCATAATTGGATTTGATCACACGGCACTTTCTTAAAAATGAGCTTTGTTACCCACAGACACCTGCAAAATTTTTGGAATGGGGCTGAAGGATGGCGAGACAAATTTCCAATACAGAAGGTCAGTGTAATTTAATGTGTGTTGCATATGTCATAGCAGCATATCTATCTACTTTGATTACATGCATGCTTTGTTGCTAGGTATCATATAAAGCCCTGTATGACATGAGACCACACTTTTTGAAATATTGAAGAGTTCCACAGTAGCCAACCTGGGCTAAACATTTCTGGAAAAGGTTGTTCTCTCAATCTCCCCACCATCAGAGAAACATTTGGTTAGGAATGACATTTATTTTATTAAATGTGTAGTAACAGACCAAAGATAAAGTAATGACAAAGAGCTTTCTTAGTGATAGCTCTTAGGGTGGGGGTCAGGAACCTCCTTTCCCATAGGGGCCAGAGGCTATGTCTGTGAGTGGATGGTGGGCCACATTCATCTGTATAGCTAATAAATGAAGGCAATAATAAAAAAAGCCAGAAGCTGGTGTTTGCTGCTATCATTCCTTCCACGCACCCACCCTCCTGCCTCCTTCCAGCTCTCCCCTGTGTTGCTGCTGCCGCCCCCCATCCCCCACTCCATTTTTCAGGCAGGCCTGATGCCCTGAGCTTGCCTGCCTGCCTCACTGACCGGAGAGGAGGGAAATGGGATGTGCAGACGTTGTGAGGCAAAAACTGGGGGGGGGGTGTAAATGCGCATTGAGAGGAGCTGACGCCACCATTTCTTCCTCCTTCTCTGCCTTACGGCTTGCTCTCATCAGTGCTGGGTGGGGGACTTGTTGCTTTGCCTGCACCGAGACAGCTGCTGAATCCGTCACCAAAATGGCTGCCCTTCCTTTTACGACCACCACAGGCTGGGTGGATAAGATAGTTCATTTCGGGACTAGAGGTCAGATCCGGCCTGCGGGCTACAGGTTGCCAATCCCTGTCTTAAGGTCACAAATTATTTACCAGGAAAGTCAGGTGAGCTCCTTTTGAGATGGGTTTTAACTAATTGGCTGCTTTTTGTTTCTTCTTTACTTTTACTAGTTTACCTTTTTACTTATATGCTTTTACTTGTTTTAATTGCTGTGTTTTGCTTCAATTATAATTCTGTTGTTACCTTTATTTTTATAATTGGTAAGTGCCCTTTTGGGGGAGAAAGACAGGAGATAGATTTAATAAATATGTAACTTCCTTAAAATTATGTACTGGTCTTTGGCTCTCAATCCACCCTTAGGCTGTAGGTAACATGTAAGAGACTCGGGTATCTTCACCTGAGAGGCTGTCACAGTATGGGGAAAAAAAGACTAATTTCTATGTAGCCACATGTCAATACTTGTGCTAATGACAGTGGGAAAGGTCTCACACAGAAGGAGAGATAAAGGAAATTTTACAATCTTGCTTAATTTACAAACTTGGGTATATACAAAGATCAGACCCCTCTCCAGTCCTTAACCAGCTGCACCACCATTACAATCAACTTTAAATCTGCTCATCACCTTGGTAGTTCTGTAAAAGAAAATACCAACATATAGGGCTAAGATCCATCACTTTATTTATCCCAAAATGGGAATAACCGCACCAGATTATCATGCAGAGTTGATATGAATCATAGGTTGGGTTCACATAAAACTCAATCCCTTAAATCTGAGTTAACAAAGCACTGCATCTGTGTGCCCATAACATGCTATGCCCAAACATATGACCACTGTTAAGGCTTAACATGATGGCGTAATTCATACATGCTAAGCCAGTCTGGGTTCTCACAATACACTAAACCAGAAATGGCCCAATTCCGTTTTAATCTAGTCTAGCGTGTTGTATGACCCCAGCTACAGTCTCTCAGCTCTTGTCCTACTTTTTACAAATAGCATGGCAAATAACATCTATGTGCCTTGGCAGGATACTTTTTTAATGTTAAAAAAATCAGGAAAATCATCTATTTTAAATGTAAGGCATAAGTTTAAAATATGACAAATACCTACCCCTGCTCCTGCCTTTTATTCTTAGGTAGAATTATTGTACCCAAATCATAGAAACAGCAAAAGCCTAGATGTCTTTATTTATTTATTTTTTTAAAGTTGAGAAGCAAACACTTCCGATTAGGAAGAAAGGAATTTCTTTCTCCAAACAATGTGTGTAGTACATGAGTCATTGCTAGGAATGTTCATTCATCCACTGGAAACCAAGAACAGGTCTTAAAATAGCTTGTGACAATAAGATATTTATACCTCAGATTCTAGAAGTGTTACAAGCTTGATCTTTTTTCAAAAAACGAAAGCTGAGAGTGTGGGCATTGTGGCTTATTTGGGGAATAACTCCTACTCTTGTAGAAGCCCACATTCTTATCAAGCCTCTTCTTAGGCGACGTACTACATTAAGCCAAAAGATGGTTTCTTTGGTTCTGGTTTAAAATGTTACATGCATTCTGCCTTTGTGGTTTGCTTGCAAATTATGGTTTTTGAATAAGTTATTATGCAAGCCCAAACACTGTCAATATTTAAAGTAGCTAGGGCAGGAACCAAAATGGCTCATAGATTACTGTTGGTGTGTAAAAGAAAGTAATCATGTAAAACTGTCTTGAAATGAAATTCACTGTCATACATCCCTCCAATCAAGAATTTTGGGGATGATAATATTTTTCATCTAGAATAATGAGCATTTCCATCCTTTGGGGGAACATTACATTGTTATCAAAAGCTTTTGTAGACTACCATGAAATGTATGGGTCAGCAAAATGGTGCCCTTGAGTGCCATGTCACATGGATATATACAAAACGGTGTCTACAAGAATCTAAAATTTAATGAAAATTAATTTTATTTAAAAAAAAATCTCATACCACCAAATCTTGTGAGATGTTGGTGTTCTCAACTGAAATCTCACAAAATTTCAAGCAAGAATGACAAAATCTTGTGAAATATTGAATGGATCACCTGCAGTCCTCTTGCAGACTGCTAGTTATCCACAGACTACTATTGGGAACCATTAACATTTAATATCTAGACCAAAATTGTCAAACCCATTGTTCACTAACTGGAAACTAGAAGATAATCCACAGGTATTTACTGAAAAAGTAGGTGCTATAGTTGCACCTATGCATTCTCAACAAGCACAGCCCAACCATTTGGACATTGCACTGCCTCTATGTTTCTTTTCCACAAATGCACAAAAACTTGTTCCCATTTATCCTCTTCCTGCATGATTTCATTACCCTACTGACTTTTCCAGCAATGAGCCATAACACCACTGGTAAGATTGTATGCTTTTGAAAGAATTGGGTAGCAAATGAAGTCACAGTCCTTTGCCTGCAATACTACAGAATCCTTGCTGGATGAAATAAACATACATAAATCAGGGATCAGCCAAGTGTGGCTGCACTAATATTACTGGACTGAAACTTCTGTTATTCCTCATCATTGGTCATGCTGGCTAGGACTGATGGAGTTGGAGCTTAACAACATCTGGAAAGCTGCACCTTTCCCCTGCCTGTCTTGAATCAACTGAACTGGTACAAAACAACTTCCTGTGGTCTTCTGTCTATCCTGCCATCCCATTACTCCACATGGCAGTCTTCCAGGGCCGTTATCATTTGTAAACAGTTGGAAAAGTTGTACATCTATTTGTAATATCTATTTCTCTTAGCTCCCAGAACTGCAGTTCTGCACTTACAGATGGTGAAACAGCTTCCAAGACCACTTAACGCTTACAAAGCTGGCAGCAAAAGTACGTAATGCAACAAATGTCAAGGTGCATATTAACAGCCAAGATGGATCAAGTTTACTGCAGGATTTGGAGCACAACATCTTACATATACCATTTCCTGGCAGAGTGTGTGTGTATATATATATGTGTATGAATGTGTGTCTGTGTATGTATGCAAGCATGTAGCTGTTTGTGTGTGTGTGTGCATGTGTAAACACACACACACACACACACGGAGTTTGCTGCCTTTCACTTAAATTTAGCTGCCTGAAGCAGCTAGCTCACTCTGCCCAATAACAGGGCCAACCAAACATGTCTGGAGAATTAAGAGCTAGCTATTAAAAAATAGGAAATGTAGTACAAGAAAGAGGGCTAAGGAAGCAGACCTCCCAGGTCCCCATTCCCACATAGACATACCTGCCTGCGCACACATTAAATACAGAGAAAAGGTGGGTAAGCGCATGCATTTGTTTAAAATAAAGGCGTGGAGGGGAAAAATTGGAAGTACTGACCTTAAAGCTCCAGTAGTTGGGTTGCTAACAAAAAAAGAACAAAAAACAGAACAACAAAAAAATACCATTAAGATTCTGTTTTGAGAAAACAGTTGACTTTAAACAGTGTGATAAGTGATCATGTTTAATTGGTTTGTTTAAAGTCCCCTCCCAATGGTTTTTTTTTAAAAAAACAAAAGTAATGAATTCCCTAAAATGAATCAAAATGGTCTGCGGGTATCACACAGGAAGGCTTCAGTCAAGAAGATACAATGATATTGATGTGAAACTTTACTGCAAGAATAAATAAAAGAAAGGGCAGAGAGTTCAGGATCTTATAAGGAATATGCAATCTGCAAATTAACACATAAAGTACTTCATCCTAAAAATATTTTTTCCCCATCTAGAAACCATGGTATCAACTAGTAACACTGATATATATCATCGTGCATGAGTTATTTCACTATCTAAAGGAAAAGAAAGCAAAATCAGTATCACATACTGATTTCTACCTTGAAGTCTGATGAGAAAGACTATTTTAAATCATGGAGGAAAAAGATGCCTCTCTGTAAAATAGGGCAAACAAACTGGCTCCCTATGGGTTTATTTTACTTTTTAAGTTTATAATTTTTAAAATTCTTATTAATTAATTCCATTTTTAAAAAATTACAAACAACAGAGAGTACATAATATCTTATATAGCAGTGTAAGGAGAGATAGACAATATGGAGCATAGTCCAGCTATCATTTCACATTTACCCTTCCCACTTGATTATTAAGGAAGAATTCATCATGCACTGAAAACACTCTCCAAATAAATGTAGAAGATACAAATGATGCTTAATTTTGGCTAGGTGTTGCTCACTATATATAAAGTTTATTTAGTTTCTTAAGGCAGAAGTTATGCTACTGGTTGGCAGATCTCTATATAATACTAGGTACCTGGGAAAATTGTGCAATTTCATTTTACATGGCAATCAAAATAGCAGTGGAGAAGCTCAAATGAAAATGCCATAAAGGAAGCACAGCCACAGTGAAAGACATCGAAACTGTGCTTAACAATATACATAGTTACATCTTTGAAAAAATAGCCATCTTTCTTTTCTTTACAATGAGACTGTGAGCAAAATGAAATTTAACTACCCTTGGTTAATAATGCAGTACAATAGTATCTTCAGAAGTCAAATTCTTAATTTGGTGCATGAATTGAATTAAACATCTTATTTCTTTCTTCTTCAATGGACATGGCACTTAAAGAATTTCATAAACAAAAATAGAGGTCCCTATCCCCAAATCTAAACATTGGCAGAAGCAGAAACAAAGACTGAATAAAGAGCTGCAAATGATGAACACACTGAAATGCTGCATTGTCAGCACTGTAATGTGGGATACTTGATTGCAACTCAGAGTGTCATGAGTTATAGGATCTAGTCTTGGAAAAAGACTAGTTCCTATAACTAGTCACTGCCTAGAGTCACTTGTATAGTGAGATGGGCAGCATATATAAATTTGAAAAATAAACAAACAAACAAACAAACGTTAGAACTTAAGCTATGGATTGGTAGGAACCCAAATCAGTAAGTCTTCTGAACCTACAATGTTTTCTGCTTTGTGGTGCTGGTTCCTAATTAAATATTTCTTTATGGACCCAGAGATCTGGAACACAAAACCATTAGAAATGAAGGGAGGGAGATATAACAAGTTTTAATGACTTAACTACACTGATTCAGTCAGACTTAAAGCCTTCTTGGTGTTGAATGACATTTGGTTCACCGAAAGGATATATGCTTCTTTATCTCCAGAAGATAACAGAAATAGGTTGCACGCTTACAACCATTTTCTTTGTCACAAGCTCATACAGATCAGTAGAACTTATTTCTGAGTAATAAACATGCATTGGAATACATGATACTCATCCAAAAGGGGATTTCTATAGCAGAAAGATGGAAAAGGCGAGCTGTGCATGATGTCATTAAAGCCCTCCTAAAATTCTGAATTGATTAATTCAGCATAACTTTGTTGTACAATGATTATTCATCATCCTGCATTTAGAGATCAGCATGTCAGGGGGTATGCTTAGCTAGAACCTCTCTTAGCACATTAGCTTTCCATGAGTAGTAGAGAGAGTTAATGACTTGGGACAGCTTTCATGCAATCCTTCATGATTCTGTAAAAGATGAGCTGAACTTCCCACTGCTACTTACACATTACTACCATGTTTTGCCCTGCAGGACAAATAGCTGCTTCAGTGGTGCTGATGGAATTTTAATAAGAAAAACAGTGTGCAGCTCTGCAGCCCCTATTCAATTTCCTTTTCCTCTCAGCTATTAGTTTTAAAAACAGAACATTTAGGAGATCCTGATCAAATATTTCCTTTGTCATTCCTAATTCTTTCTGAAAACTAGGAAGTGAGGTAGTCCTATACTGAGCCCAGTTGAAAAAGCACATCTTTAGTACCAGGTAGTAAGTATAAATATGGCACATGTATCTATTTTAGACTGCTCTGAAAAACTTAAATGAAAACTTATTTCGGTCCATAGGCTTGTTTCCTCATTCTTGTACTCTTGTTTTCTGCCATATGAAGCCTTCAGTGGAAGATAATTCTTTGCATACAGATGAGTCATTTGAGAAGATAATGATTTGTTTGCACCCTATTGAGTGGGAAGATTGTGTTCTGTGTGTACCATATTGCTACACTGAAGATTCTAGTTGCCTTGCAAATCCAGGAAGAATCCATAGACTTCTCCACATTGCAATTATACAAATTAATGGAGGGCATGCTAGTTCTGCCTTTCTGACTTAAAGCAAAGCATTATTTGAAGCAAGCTAGGTCTTTTGTAAAAATAGTGGGGAAGTAGAATAATTAATTGTGGTTCAAAAATACAGTATTTCTTTGGCTAGGCTTAACTTGCTTGGTATCTGCTTCTTGGCAACATTTTCAGTTCTTGCACTAAGTGTATTTCCCAAGGATATCTACTCTACTATATACCCTTCAGTGCAGCTATTGGCATAGGAAATCAATTGTATTGCAGCAGGCTGGGATGGTGTTGACATCAGCAGATTTCTCCCCCTTTTTTAGAGAGAAGGCAGGAAGAAGAGCCACAATTAATAAGATTCCATTTGTACTGGAGAATCAAGAGAAGATAAGAATAAATGATAGACTTATTAATACCAATAAAAACAGGAGAAATGATGCAGAAAGGACAGTACTGTATGAAGAATGGCAAAGGCTAAGGAACAGATTACATCAAGGGATAAAGCACATCAGCATGACTATGAAACTGCAGGTCAGATGTAAGTTTGTTTCTGAGCAGTGAAACAGGATTAAGATCCCAATATCTGTTTTCAGTGCAAAGATTGAAAGTTCACAAAGAATAATGTGTTTTTGAGTACAGTATGTACAAAATGCTTTTCATAAGCAAACAAATGGAATATTTACAGAAAACGTGTTATGCATTTTCCCTAGATTTCATTCTTTCTCCTCCAACCATCTCTTTCCTAATCTTTTCCCTCATATAGTCACTATTCTGTGATCAGACAGCATGCATGATTTTTACTGATAAGATTTTGTTAGGTTTTCCACTCCACAGTATCCTGAGTGTGCTTCAGTACATTGCATGTACTTCCTAGGGGATGGGATGTAGGTAACAGTATGTTTGTGAGTTCATTTCCAGATCAGATATCCTAGCTTGCATATGAGGATTGAATGGAAATCAGGTCCTGACAGCCCTTCCCATTTCTTAATTTGAGTCAAACAGATGTCCATTGAGATATTCTTTCAATTTTGGGAAAATATGGAAGTTGCATGGTGTCAAATCTGGACTGTATAGAGGGTGGGATAAGACAGTGAGATCCAACTTCACAATTACCTCCTGTCATGTAGCAGTAAATTTTCTTTTTAATCTTTGTTTCATAATTTTGAGCATTGCAATGTAGCACTCTCAGTTGCTAGTAAGTTCCAGTTTCAAAGAAATCCATGTGAATAACACCATCTGTGCCCCCAAAAACTGTAGCTATAAGTTTTCCTGCCAAAGCCTGGGTTTTGAAAAAAAAAATGCAGGTAAATTTTTGTGATATTTCATGGATGGATGCTTCATTTCTGGGTCATAATGATGACCCCATGTTTCATCTACTGTCACAATACTGTAAAGAAATTCCTCACCTTCATTCTCATAAGTATGACAACAATTCTGGCAAATTTCAACTCTTGAAGCTTTCATCTCTGCCATCAGCATGCAAGGAACCCATCTTGTACAAATCTTCCAATACTGAAGAACATCAGTGTGACCCACATGTTCCAATGAAATGCCAAGCTTGTCAACAATTTCCTTTTGAGTGATCTGCTGACTGTCCTTAATCAGTTCATTAACCTTTCTTACTGTATGTGAAATTTGTTGTTTGCTATCACAAGTTGTCTACTTATTCTTGATCCCACAAATCAGCTCTTTCTGGTTCACCATCTTTACAAGTTTTGGCCCAGTGACACACAGTACTCATTTCAACATAGCCATCACCAGAAATAACCTTCCTTTGGTGTTGAATTTCAGTTGGAAAGACTTTTTTGGCCGTCCAAAATTCAACAACAGCACATTGCTTAAAGTGCACTGATGAACATTCACTGCAGGCTTCTGTTTCACAAATAATTGCAACAATTTTCTCCCAGCAATTTCCCATTAACTGAAGTGAAAGAGCAGATGCTAAAGAACGTGTCAGAGCTTCTAGTGCATCTGTACTGCCATCTATTGGTGACTTCTACCTCTATAGGCATAACTTTTCATTTAACCCTCATAAAATAGCATGACACTTTGGAATAAAAATAAATTTTCATGGTATACTGGCCAAAATGTACCCAAACTGACCAGTCTTGTCCATACTATTAGCAGGGAATCGTGCATATGACATGAGTACAACTAAGGCTGATATCCTAGTATATACCTTCTCTATCTCACACACAAACAAAAAATTACAAAAACTTTGATTAACTAATGTGATGATGGGTGGCAGAGCTTTGGGCCCATCTGGTGACAACCATGGCATATAGAAAA